TTTAAGAAATAATAAAAGTTCCCGGCAGATGCATTGGATCGCCGTAATACATGTACCTAAACAATTACTGAACTAGTATACTTAAAACTTTCTTCTATCACATGTTTGTTCTGTACATATAATGATGCTATTTATATCAAATTGATCATGCGTGTAAACTGGCGTGAATTCTCTAATTATTATTTTCAGAATATCTTATTATTATTGTTATTATTATTATTATTATTAATATTAATAATTATTGAATGAGGTAATGAAAAATAAATCAACTTTGATTTGGTCCTGAGCGGTAACTTGTTTTATATACATTACTTTATTCATATGTATCCATGCTTCGTTGTTTCGTACTATATTTCTGCTCGGTTCTAGGAGACACTTATAATTATGAGTTGAAGACACTTTTTGATCCGAAATCAAATCCGTTTTTGTGAAGTGGATGTACCAAATATCTAATTTTTCGTAGGTGATAAACGTTCTGTGATATAGCAACAATACATCTGTTATTATCCCGGTTTTATGGAGATTATATGATCTAATAGTTAACATTACGAACTGATTTTAGTTAGACAAATATTTAATACGGATTTATTGGTCTTAAGACTAGGCTCTGGCTGCGAGACCTGTGGGTTCTGAGTTTGATTTTGAATTAGGTCATAAATGGGAGCAAAGAACACTCCCAGTCGTTCAATGCTTTCTAGTTCCAATGACCGTTCAACTAAAGTCAACGCACAGGGTTAATCATTAAGTTAATAAATATATCTTGCGTTTTTAGAACCTGTTTTGACCCATTTTCGTATTATTATTTCTACTCTTCTGTATTGTGCTCACTCTTTGTAAGCTATGGTATTTTGAATGTGTATATCATTGTTCGATGTCTCAAGTTGTTTTTATCTCCCTGTGGAAGTTGGCTGTTCCCATCAACTTTTATCAAACGCAAATCTGAATTTAGTATTTCTCTGTCAACGTTCATATATCTGTAGATTTGTGGATAAATCGGAGCATGATAAACCCATTTTTAACCCACTTTCCTTATTGTTCTTTATCAATTACTCTTGAATTCACTGTTTTCTTCTCTCTCTGTCAGTATCATGGTTCGAGTCTTCACGCTTCTGTCACTTCGTCCATCGATTATTCTCATGCAGTGTACACATAGCATTGCTTTTATTTATGGAGTTAGTCAATCTTTTGTACTTGAAAGTAAGTATGGTTAAGTTTTATCATCCTCTTATTCCGAAAATGTATTATCATACTTGGAACCATAGTAAATCAACCAAATTATATTTTTGAGTCTAATATATCTATCGGATACAGATTGAATGTATGTTGAGGCATTCCCAGCTTCCCTTATCAATTCACTTCGGCAAACAGAAAAATAGATGAGAAGCAAAGAAGACAGATATACGTACTTAAAATACTATTCATTACAAAAGTTAATGTAACTCAAAGTAAATAATTCATAGTGTGACAAATAGATAGGCATCGGGTGTATAAGCACACACAAAGACATAGATATATGGGGGATACGTGTACGGAAGGTTACAACTTCCTATGAAGAGAAAGTAAAAATAGCTCAGTAGTCATAAGCCATCCGAGTTGTTAAATTCTACCCAGAAGTTAAAATACATCATGTGTAATAACACAGAAGCTGCTACAACCAATCTCCCCTTGGAATACAGGAATTTAACGAAAAAAAAAATAACTGTGTTCAAAGACAAATTGCGAATATAAGATATATGAAGATCATTTGAAAGGTAGCACAAAACGTACTGTTTTATATATAGTGTGAGTGTGTGATGGTTAAATATCTTCCTTTAAAGGAAAAAAGATATACAAACCGTGTATGTGAAGTGGTGGGTGACAGGCCATACAAATCTGCCTTGACCAAAAATAAATTAATATTGACATATGATTTTGATTGTACTAAAAATATTCTGCATTGTTTCATTTGTACTATTTAAACTTGTGTTAATTTTATTTCGGTCATGTATTTACTCTGAAGAAGTGGCTTACATTAAGTCACGAAACGTCATAGATACAAATCTCTACTCATTGGGACATAACAAAAAAGATATATTTATTATTAAATTTATACCCACTGCTCAATTTATTTGAAACTACCAAAATGAACCTTTGCATTGATACCTATAGACAACATAAGGCTTGTAAAAACTCGCTTCATTTTACAGTAGTTGTGCTAGTGATGTTTATAAAATAATAATAACAATAATAAAGGCTTCATGATGCAACTATCCGGCTCATAAACCACAAATCTTTTGAGATTCTAACTTTGGGATACAAATTTTTAAACATCATTTTTACATCCATAAATTTTCTTTTTATTGTACACAGAAAATATGCGATCGTATAACCTTGTTATCAATGACTAAAGAATATCGGTATATTCAAAGAACTACTACACGATGTTGTATACTTTTTACTGGTTTATCAAAATTTTCTGCTAATGATCGTTCAAATGTTTTCTTAAACTCTGCAATCGGGGGTACAATCATGGATCGTTTATATACACTAATCTTTTTTGTGATATTTCAATTACAAGTAGGTTGAATATTCCAGATTTCAGTGTTTTTTAGTTCCTTTGTGTGTATCTTTTTGATGTCACTGTTTTTATTGGCTGTTAACTTGTTATCAATATGTGACTGATGGCGTTAGTCTCTTCCGACTAATGATTACTACATACGGTATTTTAGCTGAGTGGCTAAAAATAGTACACTTCACTATATCCTACGGATTTGTGTTACCGGCTATAGAACCTGGAAAGTATGTAGCTATGATAAACTAAAAACTACTTGCAAAAGGCTATGTGCTATCAGCCTCGAGCATTTGTCTTTTGGACTTTTTGGTCGAGATCACTGTTAATTCAGTTTATCTTTCGAGTACCTAAAGAACACGAATCATCATTTCATGGTGTTGGTGACCAGGAAGTAACAACTGACCAAATAACTCTTAAAGAATTCGAAACTATCTTGTTCACGATCAAATCCCAGTTAAAGAGCTTGACTTCTAGTCATTAATAGGCAGATTTGAATTCAACTCGATCTACTTCGATAAAAGCAGCTGAGTGGTATTCGTATCGTTTACGCATACTCACACACAAATAATGTAACTCAGAACCAGTTTCATAAATTTGTATCTAACTGATTTCTCAGATTAAAATTATTAAAGTGATTACTATATTAATACAGTGGGCCATTAAAAAGTCACCAAATGAAAAGTCCACATTGTGCCAATCAAAAACCTAATATAACAAGTCCAAGAAATGGTTCTATTTTCTAAGGAATAGATACATATGTATAAATGATTATTTTTTCATGTGATTCGGTTTAGCCCAATAAATTTCCTCTTTCACTCTCCATCTTTTCACTTAGCAGCCGGTCGTGAGCTTGAGGATACAATTTGTGTATCAGTATCAGTCTCGGACACCGTGGGTCATAATTATTTCTTGTTTTTAAATAGGATTGTTAGACTAATACGCAATTTATTGCGAGAATTCTTGTGTTGAGTTTGGAAAACAGATCAATAATATGGGCATGTAGCCGTCTAAAATCTCCGCAAAATCGCATCATTAATGACTAGTTTTTAGATTTGTGACTGAAGAAACTGATGAAAATCTGTTGAAAAGCATATTTTTTGTCCACATACCTTTATTTCAACTCAGTATTAGTTAACTGATATTTTACATGCTGCGGTATTTGAAGATCCTCAGTTCAATCACATTTGATGATAGATACATATTACAGAAAAATTCAGAATCCAAATGAAACAGGCATTCAGTACTCATTTCTTTTTTCAGTTATTCTCTATCTTGTGTCACTTCTCGGTGAAAATTGTTTCTAAGGTCCTGGTACGGCCGAGAGTGGGGAGAGTCCGCTCTCCCTCTCGAAATGCTCTCACATGGTCACGCGTATATAGCCTCTACCAGGGAAGTCCTACTCGCTGCCTTCCCGTGGCAAACGTGCTGTTTACGAAAATGAGAGGACGAAAAGCGAATGTCCGGCGCTTTAACCGGACCCCAAACCAATGGTGCACATGGGCTCCAGTATCCTGAAGGAACAAATGGCGTATGAACCAATCATTGGTCACCGGCTACCATGGGACTGCATCTTCTCACGATGCTCCACTGCCTTGTGGGTCAGACGTTCAGGTCGAAGGCTCGTGGTGTGGCCCCCTAAGAAAACCACCTGGTTCGGTTTGGGCACCCGGACAGTATCACAGCCCTCATACAAATCCATTGAGATTCGTGTGGCGCATATGTACTAGGTGCCTCCCTGTACCTATACTTATGTGTTAAAATAAATAATATAAATAAGGTCTTAACACAATCACCTCAATAAATATTACGCCAATTCAAAATTTTAACATGCAGAGTACGGTTTCTGTGTTTACAGTGCGTTTATGTAAGTGTACCTAGTATTTCGTTATCTTCTATGAAATGGGAAACTCGGAAAATACGGTATTTTCCAACATTTTCACTTGAATTAACCTGGAAAGTTTTCTATAATCATCATTTTGAAATGGTTTGACTTTAAACTCACATTGTTAATGGGTGATTCCCAAAAACACTTCAAGATTTTAGAACGAATAGTTTGACAGAAATTGGGCGCCGAGTATAGAGAAGTCATTATATGTAAAAATTATATTTGAAATTATCTCAGCGATTGAAATTTAAATAATTCCAATGTTTCGTCCAGCTTTAATGATTTTGATTATTACCCGGCTGCCATGGGACTGCATCTCCTCACGATGCTCCACTGTCTTGTGGGTCAGACAAGACCTTTAGGTCAAAGGTTTGGGGTGTGGCCCCCTAAGAAAACCACCTGCTTCGGTCTGGGCACTCGGGTAGTATCACAACCCACACACAAATATGATGAAATGTTTATATTTATGGAAGATACTTTTCTTGCTTCAATTAACAATCAAAAAATTCACATTATCATTATTATTTACCACGTCATTTATTCACTCTTTTATTTCCACTTTATGTATCCTTATTTTTCGGCTTATAAAGCAGCTCGCCTATGGTGAAAATTCGGCTCTATCTAAACGTTCTCGAGTCACTGCCTGGTTGAAAATTGTATGCTACCAACGAATATGAGTACTGAAGCAGTTTTTCTGAAACCACGTGCACCATTCAAACTGGCTGCCTTCAACGTTCGCACACTTATGCAGGTCGGACAACAGATGGAGTTGGCTATGTCTTTGGAAAGTCTTAATATTGATGTGTGTTGTTTATCCGAAACCCTTATTCAAGACTCTGGTGAAGTACTACAAGTTCGCTCTCCATTTGTCGCTTCAAAAAGCTTGTTTTGCGTGCATTTATTCGGGGACCCTGTGGCATCTTCCTCTGGTCTTGCTGGCGTTGGTGTCGCACTAAGCGCTAGAGCTGAGGCAGCACTGGTTCCTTACAACTCATTGTAGCCCGTCGGTCTACTCCGGGTGACCGTGAGTTTGGCCACATACAAAGGATGTTACGTAATGAAATCGGGCAAAGCTTGTGTAAGGACCGAGAAGCCTGGTGGTCGGAGCGTGCTAATGAGCTGGAAGCAGCAGCAGCATCTGGTAATTACCGGAAGCTCTTCCAACTCATCCGAGTCACTGGCAGCAAGAAGTCTGGTGTGAGTTAAACAATCTGCGAGGATGACGGAACGCCAATCACTAACATCCATCGACGTCTTGGACGATGGGCAGAATTTTTCGAAGGGCAGTTCAACTGGCATGCTACTCCGACAACATCGGTCAGATTGTCCTGCCCTCCGTGTCCGGTGACGACTGATCCACCAAATGAGGCGGAAGTCCGCAAGGAACTCCAACTCTTGAAACGCTACAAATCACCGGGCCCAGACGACTTACCTCCGGCTCTTTTTAAAGATGGTGGTGACCTTCTGACTAAGGAACTGACGACGTTGTTTACAAAGGTCTGGGAACTAGAGAGTTTACTAACGTCATGGAACGAGTCGATAGTTGTCCCTATCTTTAAAAAAGGTTCACGTCGTTCGTGTAACAACTATCGGGGGATAAGTCTATTTCCGATTGCGTCCAAGCTATTGGCTTCCGTCATACTTCGTAGGTTGTTCAGAACCCGAGAAAGATTGACTCGCGAGGAGCAGGCTGGGTTTCGTTCTGGTCGAGGATGTATTGATCATATCTTCACCCTCCGCCAAATGTTAGAATACCGTCATACTTATCAAAGGCCAACAATCGTAGTGTTTCTTGACATCAGGGCTGCCTTCGATTCGTTGGACAGAACTGTTCTCTGGGATTGTCTATTGAAGAAGGGTGTGCCTGAGAAGTTTATTAACATCCTAAAAGCCCTATATACAAACACCTCAGGCAGAGTGAGGGCATACAATCACCTTTCTCCAATGTTCCATTCAAGCAGTGGGGTTAGGCCGGGTTGCCCAATCTCACCATTCCTCTTCAACTTTGCCATCGATGACATTCTGGAAACAGCTCTGGTGGATGTAAGTAATGGCGGTGTGGATCTGTTGCCTTGAGAAAAACTTCTCGACCTTGAGTATGCGGATGATATTGTCTTACTGTGCGAGAATGCCCAAGCCATGCAATCCGTACTTAATCAGTTGGCAATCAATGTCCGTAGGTATGGTATGTGCTTTGCACCTTCGAAGTGCAAAGTTCTTCTACAAGACTGGCAGGATTCTAATCCTGTAATCACTCTGGATGGTGAGCAGATAGAAGTAGTCGAAAAGTTCGTGTATCTAGGTAGCTGCATAAGTGCTGGTGATGGTGTGAGTGATGAGATCAATGCACGTATAGTGAAAGCCAGAGCGGCTTATGCCAATCTGGGCCATCTTTGGCGCCTTCGTGATGTTAGTCTGGCTGTAAAAGGTCGGATCTACAACGCGTCGGTGAGAGCAGTTCTGCTCTATGCTTGTGAAATCTGGCCTCTCCGAGTTGAGGATGTTAGACGACTCTCTGTGTTCGATCATCGCTGTCTCCGAAGGATTGCTAACATCCAGTGGCAATACCATGTTAGTAATGCAGAGGTTCGGCATCGTGTGTTCGGGCACAGATACGACAATGCAATTGGTGTCACCATCTTGAAACACCGACTTCGGTGGCTTGGACATGTTCTACGAATGCCGTCCCAGAGTATTCCACGTCGTGCATTATTTGCCGACTCTGGGACTGGTTGGAAAAAGCGGAGATGTGGTCAGTATATGGCATGGTGTCGTGGTACGAAAGAAAGCTGCGAAGGGCTGGCTTGTGTTGGTCCTTCAAGACTCCCTGGCTGGGGTCCGAGAAATGGTGTGACACAGTGGTTAGAGACGTTATCAGATATGGCTCAGGATAGAAGCCAGTGGCGATCCTGCTGTAACCTTCTTTTACTTTGTTTATAATAAGTGGTTGTAACTTCCTTAATTAAAAGAATTCTTCTGATTGTACCTTTCCGTTTCCCCCATTATTATCATTATTATTATTATTATTATTATTATTATTATTATTATTATTATTATTATTATTATTATTATTATTATTATTGCACTAACCTGTTCGTTATTGTTCTTTTTTCCCTTCTCTTCAAATGCTCATTGTTTTGTGTGGCGCATATATATATGGTGCCCTCTTGTACCAATATTTATGTTTCCAAATAAATAGTAAAAATATATAAATACCCTGAAGTCCTCACAAGTTAGCTGGACGAAACGCTGGAATTATTTAAATTTCAATCGCCGTGATTATTTCAAATATATTTTTCACATATAATGACTTCAAGATTTTTTCAGTTAATACCAGTATCGTCTGACCAAGAAGCCTGCTAGTCTGTTAGAGCTGTGAAATCGATTCGATAAACTTTCCTTATTTTCTTAATTATTGGAATCTAGGTTAATGAGTCGTTAGGTGATGGAGCAGGGCAGGGTAGAGAGGCAGCAGATAACATCTGCGTTGTGGATGTTCTGTCCTAATACATCTAGTTCTCCTAATCACATAACGGAGTTTTTGCGCAACGATGGTATAAGATTGTGTAGTTTTAATACTACTGTTATTAATATTATTGCAACAAAATTCAACTTGTCTATCTTGTTGATAAAATTTATCATAGTCAATGTGATAATTCTCAATACGATTAAGATATCTTTTCATTCAGTCAGTCACAACATAGAACCTGGTACGTGCGTACATCGGTTCAAGTTGCTATACCCCATTAGCACAGAAAGACGAAATTGTCAGATTAGATCCGAGAATAGTAGAGGTAGTAACAGTATTAGTGAAATAAAAAAATTTTTTAGGGATTCTGAAGCTTAGAATTTTTGTGAAAACAAACAATGGATTCACCTGCTCCATTGCAAGCGATTTTGAGAGTCGTTGACCCCATATTCAACTGTTTATATCGCTTCCAAATTTTCCACTCTTGGAAATTCATTTATAACTGTATTATTAATTTATTTTTGTGATTGTCATTGATTTGTTTTTACGTTTTCTAGTGGAGTTTATTGGCTACATTGTCAGCAAATTACTGGATCGTTCACGTGATCAACGCTTTCTCTGTTGCTTTCTTGTATGCATGTTATGCATTTGAATATCGTTGGCGACAAGTTGCCGGTAATTTAAACGTTTTAATTTTTTTGGGGTTATTACCTTCGTACTTATGGACTGTTATGTATTGACTGATCTATCAATACCTTGTTTCTGTCTCTGTCCTCATATTTTAAGTGTAGTGTCATTCCATACTTTTCATTATTTGATCTCATTTGTCCCTTTTAAACTGTACCTCATGGTCCACTAAGTTTTTTGATACATTTTTAGTTGAGTCACGTGATTAAGTTGTGCTGTTTAGTTTGCAAAAAGCGTTAGTAGTGTGTAGTTCTCATCAAAATTAATTTGAAGCTACTTTTTTGAAATTTATGGTTATAGTTGTGAATTTAGATCGGTGGCTCTGTGGTTAGGGTTTTTGACTTTTAGTCCTAAATCAATGACTCGAACCCTATTCCATTTACTCCAGCTTGGACAACCTGATAGTATTACTAACCTTCACACTAAAAGTACGACTCTTAACCAACCGCATGGGTCTGTACTTGGTAAGTGGGATAATACTATTGTATTGTAGTCAAAATTAGTTTCTCTACTTCAGTTCTCATCTTGTTAATCTCTCTTCTATTGTTGTAATGATGTGAAGTGTAGTAGTATGGACTGATGCATTCTCCTGTCTTTATTCTACATTGAGGATGACTTACGCGGTAAGTAACATTGTATAATACATTATTACAGAGATAAAATTACATGTATTGAAAGAAAGTTATCATTGAATAATACCTTTTGTATATTAATTTTTTTATCGGTCTTCATTATTTCCTGTTCTACACCTTCATTAGGCACTACCTTTGAAGGATTTTTAGGACGAATTGTTGATAATTGGACGTATTTCCTCGGGTACGGTCTACCACTTGGTTGTGCATCTATTGTATTCCCACATTTTATCGGTTGGGGTGGTGTAATTCTTGCAATAGGCTATCCAGTTCTTGTAATTGGTGCATTAGGTAGTCGTTGGCGTCCATTTGATGTTAATATTAATGTAAAAGATGAATGGAAATTATTTCATTTATTACGTTATTGTTTAATTATTTCCCTTCGACCAGCATTATGGGTTTCTAATTTAGTTGTACAAACTACTGCATGGTTTGTTTATCAATTTTGGTTCCGACAAAATTATCCAATTACCGATGATGGAAGTCGTCAATTTTAAATATTTATTTATTAGTATATTCGCTGTATTGCTAATTTCAATTTATTTCTAGCGGTCAGATTTTTGGTTGAAGAATCAAAGAAATATAATTTTTTGTCATAAAAAAAATCAAGTTACATCACAATTTCGATGCATAATATATACTTTCAATTATATGATAGTTATGCAAAGACGTTCCAATTTTCATAATTAATGGATACTTTTAATTTGAAGCTTGTAATAATTACAAATTGTAACCATTAAAACACCATCTATTATTTTCTAATTCTATTTAGATTTTTATTTTGTTCTCAGATATAATAATGAGTTAAATTAACATAATTTTATTGGTTTGACTTTGTCACCACACTCTCTTATATGTTTATTTTGAGTTGAATTTCCAACTCATCTTGGTGCCAAAGCATTTTACTCTTTATTTCGTTTTTCTTTTTTGAAAAAAAAGGTTTTATTACACGGATCTACATAGGTTTATAATTCTTTTTTTCAATTGTTAATAGCTGAGTATTAGTATTGGTAGCAGTAGTAGTAGTAGTAGTAGTGCTTACATAAAGAGAGAAAGTAAATGATTAACTCATTTACCAGGTATACGATTTCGTGTATTTGATTTCGAGCCGCTCTATAATTGTAAGAGCTAATGATATACTACTACTCGACTGTCTAAATCGAAGTGTAAGTGAAATGGGATTTAAACCTGTGACCTAGGTATTGAAAATTTAACACCTTAACTACTGTAGCTACCACTCCATGTAAGAAATCCCTAAAAGAACTGAACTTGTTGACTGT